ATACTGCTTCACACGTACAGTGGAATTGATTACGTAAATGGATGGTAGATGGTGGCAGCCAGGCTTCTCACAGTTGGGAATCGGAATTTACAAAGAAATGAGGAAAGGAGGCTAAAATGATCCATTTGTTAATGAATTAGAGTTGGCGACATCAGTAAGAATTCATGTTTAGCCAAGTACAGTTACAGCTGATCGCACACAAAAATGTTTATAATGTGTGTATCCACATGGATTAGTGTACACACATGTATTTCTTTGCTCTGTCAGATGACAGGACCTAAAAGTAGCAACACTCTAGTAGCAATGTGCAAATCATCACCCAGATCCTGGGTTCTAATCCCATGGATTAGAAGTAAGTAAAAGCCCCTAGGGCTCCCTGGAGAAATGGCTGAGTCCAGGACTGGAGCACTGTAAAATGAGCCTGGGGCACCCTGTAATGACAAAAGGAAGGAATTGTTAAAACTAAACAAGCAAGCCCACATTGACGGGAGCCGACTGAAATGGCTCCTGACAGCCAAAACTGTTAATATTTGAACAAAATAAATTCTGGATTGGATTATAACCCAAAATATCAATATCCGTTGAGTCCACATTGATATGAATAAATCACTGAACAAATTAATGGGAGAAAAGAGACAAAATATTCCAGGTATATTACATAGATACTTTAGCTTCTTTTATTTTTTAAAGATTTTTATTTATTTATTTGACAGAGAGAGAGCACAAGCAGGGGGAGCATCAGACAGAGGGAGAAGTAGGATCCCCACTGAGCAGGGAGCCCGACGTGGGGCTCCATTCCATGACCCTGAGCCGAAGGCAGACGCTTAACCAACTTAACCAACTGAGCCACCCAAGGGCCCCAATACTTTAGCTTCTAAAGCGGGGGGTAGCATCACACACTCCACCAGTGTGTGGCTGCACATTAGAGACCTCCTTCCCAACAGTACAGGATGGAAAGAATGGGAAAAGAGAATAACTTCACAGTGGAGAAACCCAACAAATACTACTTCACCCTGTCGGCCAACATCGACAGTCATAGGTCAAGTTGATAGGATGCACCCTTGATATGTTAACAATGGCACTTTACATCAGACAAATTCCAAGAGAGCGGAATTCCACAACACACCTGACTAGTGCTCCTAAAACGGTCAAGGTCACCACCAAAGACAAAGAAAGTCAGAGAAACCTTCACAGTCAACAGAAGCCCAATGAGACAATGACAACTAAATATAAGAGGAGATGCTGAAGCCAAAAAAAAAAAAAAAAAGGATACTGGGAGAAAACTAAGAAAATCCGAATAAATTATATAGTTAACAATAGTGTATCAATACTGATTCACTAACTGAAATGAATGTACCAAACTAAGGTTAAGATGTTAATAATCAGGGAAACAAGGTATCAGGTGTACTGGAACTTTGTACTATCTTCATAATCTTTCTGTAAATCTGAAATTGCTCTGAAACATAAGGTCCATTAAAATTATTTTTTTAAAAATCCAAGAAAGAAAACCCAGGACATATATGTAATACTGGTGTACAACAGAGGCGGTATTACAAATTTATGTCAAAAGGACGCACTACTGAATAAGTGGTTTGTGGACTACTGGCTGTTCACGTGGGAAATAAAATTTGATTACTGTTTCACACCACATATAAATCACAGTTGGACTAAAATTCCAAATGTGTAAAAACAAACTATTTTCATTATCAGAAGAAAATCTTAGAGAACATCTTCATGACCTTGCAGTAGGTAGGAAAGCATAAGAAAAAATTAAAAAACATTAACCATACAGAAAAGATTGATTTGTCCACAGAAAAGTTATCAACCTCAATAAAAGAAATGATACTATTTAAGAAAAAAAGGACAAAGGGTTGACCAAAAAAAATGGTGTTCAACCTAAAATGCCCCATAAATTATAAAATACAAATAAAGAAATTCTATAAAAACATAAGAAAATGATAATCAATAGAAAAATGGGAAAGAATATGAACTGACACATCAGAGGAACAAAGAGCCATTACACAGATGGAAATATGCTCCTTATCAGTAGTAATGCACATTTAACACTGAAAATACCATGTTTTACCTATCAGATGGGTAAAAATTACAGACTTATTATAATTTGAAGCTCGGTAAGAACATGGGGGAAAGAATCCTTAATGAACTGTCCATGGATCGTTAAGTGTTTTAACTGCTCTGGAGGACAACTTGACAACATCCATTCAATATTTACATCTTTTCTTCCAAAATATTACAAAAGGAGCAAAATCAAGTCTTTCATCAACAGAAGTATGGTTCACTAAATTGTGATACTATGGAAAAGTATGCCTTAGTTTAAAAGAATGAGGGAAATATACAGATGTATGTATAGATACAAAGTTTATATATACAGAGACACACACACACAGACACACACACACACACCATGGAAATACAGTTCTGAGACATTACTTGGTATAGGAAAGAACGTTATAGAACAATCCAGAGAATGACAGAATCTGACTAAAAAGTAAAGACCTAAAACAATATATTTATATACATCCATATACATTAACTGTTGAACGTACAGAACATTCTTGAAGGATACTTATCAAACGGAGAAAGAAAATGAGATTGGGGGCAGGGAAAGGGCAGGTAAAGAATTTCTTTCCTTTTTTATCTATGCGTCTTTGACAAGGAGAGTGTATTTATGGATTGCTTGTGTAATTAAGCTTTTTTTTCCTTAGTGAAATAAGCAGAAAGGGGAGGGGGAGAAATGGTATAAGTTTTACATTGAGAGTATTTTCCCACATGAGTACCATGGGCATCAGAATAGCTGTGAGCCACTCCCTCCTGCAGCATGAGCACCTGCCCTTCGGTTACAATCTCCAGCTCTGTACCTGGGAGAAACACTGCTAAGCAATACCACGTAGGGTAAAAAAGACCCCTGACCAGTACATCTGGTCTGCAAGGAACTACAAGGGAACCGTAAGCGTCTCATGCATGCACCATGCTTTGGAGGTTCTCTGAATGCAGGGACTCTTGGAACAGGCACGTCTTCTCTGCTTGACTCAAACCTTGTCGGGACATACAGGTCAAAAAATATCACAAAGCCAGGTGTGAGTCACACGGGCACTTGAGATTTGCACCAAGTGAGCCAGGTACGTGTGGAAAAGTCATTTTCAAATTCTGAGCAGCCTCTGCTATTTTCATGAGCGACCCTTCGACTGCCCCATGAACTATAAATACTCCATTTTAATCATTCTTCGAGATAGCTGTAAGCAACAATATTTTGCGTTCAATTAAACTGAGGCATTTTTGGCGAATAGCAAGGCATAAAACTTATTCATTACACAACTGTAGTAAATTTATGGCTCAAATAAATTTTATCTATAATTTCCCAAACCACTATGGAAAGTTAAATCATTCATTTTACATAGTAGAACACAATGTGGGACTATATAAAAACTAAAATGAAGAAAAAAAAATTTCCAAAGGACCTGGCTTCCAAGTGAATGTCTTTGAGAAAAAAAGGTTTTTTTATGTATTTGAAAATCAAAATCACTTCCTAAAAAAAACTAATCCTCGGTGTAAATTACAGTGGAAAAAAATCACTACTGATGAATAAAGACAAGACAAAACTTGCCAAAAGCTAAGTATGGATATGCTTGAGAGAGCAAAGAGTGGTATTTCCAAATCTGTGGTTCAGCTTTGTTGAAATTATGGTACCAGTACCTGCCCCACTGAAGACCACTATATCTCAGCTGCTTACAGAAAGGCACCGGTTGAAACCAAATTCAGGACGGTCAGTGCAACACAGAGAACATTATTTTTAGTCACACACTACGCCACTTCTTTTGAGGGGGTCTTAAAAATGCAATGTGTAGCTCCTCAACCCCGCTCACATTCTGTTTTAATAGTTCCGTGAAGGGTCCATGAATTTTTTAAAAAGTGCTGATTCTCAGACCTATAAATACAGAAAACAAACTGATAGTTGCCAGAGGGGAGGCAGCCAGGGGGATGGGCAAAATGGGTGAAGGGACGTGGGAGATGCAGGCTTCTAGTTATGGGATGAGTAAGTCATGGGAGTTAAAGGCACAGCATAGGACATATAGTCAATGATACTATAACAGTGTTGTATGGTGACAGATGGTAGTTACACTTGCTGGGAGCACAGCATAAACCTACAGAGAAGCTGAGTCACTATGCTGTACACCTGAAACTAATGTAACATTGTGTATCGACCATACTAAAAAACAAACAAACAAAAAAACATTTTAATTAAAATTTCTTTTAAATGAAAAACAAAAAGTGCTGATTCTGGGGAACCCCAGAATAAGACTTCAAAGGGCCACTGACCTCCCTCGCCCACCTCCTGAAACAGGTCAGGAGCACAGGATTTTATACATACATACATACATGAGTTTCTTCCCTTTCTTGGAACCCTTTATTTGAAGGACCACTGAATCTTACCACCGATAATAAAGGTAAAATATGCTTGCTTGTTTCACCGGAATCCCTTAATGACATATATCAACCTCAGAATCGTTTTTTAACCTCTGGGGACAGGAAGAAAGAAAACACCAGAATGGAATAGATACTTCGTTTCATTTCTTAAAAAAGTGAGAGGTCTGGCATGGCAGAAAGTTCATACCTGTTATCAAATCTGAGGGAAGAATAAAAGGAAAATCACGCTATTTGCTATGCTTTTTTGTATGTTTTAAGATACTCATTTTTTTGAAAGCAATTTAAACACATGGCATTACTCCAAAAGGCAAGCCCATACGAGAGCATCAGCACGAGCCACCACTCCCTAGAGAAAACAGTGGTTCGTCAAGGTCCTTTGACAACTTTTATATTGCGAGGATGCATCAGAGTTGACATTTTGTGCCCCTCAACGCGGGTTCCAGAAAAACAAGCGTGATCTGTTTGTGCTTACTTAAAGCAACGCTGTTTTCCACGGTGAACAAAAAAATTTCAGTAAGAATGGAAGGAAACCTGGCCCTAGTGGGTTCACGTACCTGTGTCGCTCCCAGATCCTGTTGACAAAGCTGGCATGATGCAAGCCGCTGAAGGCTGGGACAGCCACACCACTCACCACTTAGAAAGCCACAGAGAACTGCAGTCAGTAGCCTGCAGCCACGCTGTCGACCAAGATTTATATATCGAGCAGGCCGTTTCTAAAAAGAGAAGAAAAACACTTTAAAAATAATAATAGGGAAGACTACTAAATTGCAACATTCTGTGACTAATTCAGAGTTCTTATTCCAACATGCTTACCAGAGATCACGATTCTTCCAAATTTTGTCTACATGCTACGTGCACATATGAAGTGTGAGAGTTTTTGATTTGGATGTGAAATTTCTAATTAAAACCACAAAAGCTCCTCATGCAGGTATCAAGGCTTCCTGAAAGATTTTTGCAGTTGGTTTGAGGGCTGCTGAATGCAGACTGAGAACGTAAAGAAGGTTTTTAATGCCAGGGCTATTCTCAAATCCTTTGCCTGTTACCGAGATCCCACGCTCTATTTCTAATGAAGAACAGCGACTCTGTAGATGGCCAACAACTTATAAATACTTGTAATTTTTTTAAATAGCTCATCCTAATATGGCAACTGCAAAGTTCTCTAACTGAAACTGCAAATCACCTGGAGAAACTACTAGAATTGAAGATGTTAGAGATTCCCAGAAGTGTTAACAATCAAAACGAGACCTCCCAATCCAAGCTAATACACAAAAGTCAATTCTTTCGGTAAAATACTAAGCTTGGACGCACTTTGCAAAATACCAGTTTTTTTCAAAAGTTGTTTTAACTACGGTTTATTTGGACAGAAGCAGTAAGGCACTGTTGTCTCCTAGCCAAAGAGCAAGGACTCCAGAGTTTGGCCTAATCTCTCAACCTGCTAAATCTGTGATCTTGGACAATTTATTTAATCTCACTGCGCCTTCACTACCTTCTATACATATGGAGATTAACAGCAATTTAGAACCATTTGATAATTAAATACGCTAAGGCTCACAACACAGCATCTGGCAGGTGACCAGCAAACAAGAAATGCTGGCTATTATGACTGGAGCTGTTTAATTCAGGCAATGAGATTATAAAATGAAAACATAAAGGAAAGTAGCGAGATTAAAATTTACACTGGCCTGACACCTAGGAGAAGGCCGTGTGGTTTAAATTTGGACCACTGCTGCCTAATAACAGAAAATACACTACATTTACATTTTTTAGAAATCAGAAGCCCCACACAATGTGTTTAAGTCCATTTTTAATGCATTTTCCCCCAGTTCTCTATAAAGCAAATTCAGTAATTTAAAAGCATATTTTAACATATATTAACAAGAAAAACATACTATAAACACTCAAAAAACTGGCTCACTTCAACCCATGAAGCCTTTAAATTGCTGATTCATATTACAGGATAAGGAATGAGCTTGCCAAATTTCACTTGAAAAAGTCTAAGCTGCAAAATTCTATTAAAACCTTCTAAATTAGCTTTTTAACTCTCAAAGTGAATGTTAGTATGAAAAAATTCACCAAAGAGACTATCTTGAACCAGACTATCTGAAGCAATGACCTGCATTTTGTTTCATATTACAAAGGCTAAGTTAAAATATGCACAGAAGATTAATTGAAAATATGAAGACAGTTATTTTAAATACCAAATAAAATATAAATCACGAAGCTAAAAAGTAAGTGAAAAAGACAAGTTTCATTAATTCCCATCTCTGAGGCTGTTTTCCCCGATAATTTTAAGAGGCAATTCTGCTTTGCTTTCATAAATTATTCTAACAATCAGGATTAAAATTCAACTACATAAAAGTGTTCCTTAATTCAAACACAAAAGTAGTAAGAAACAGACCATACGTGATTTAAAGAAGGCACTCAATAAAACTTTTGTTTTGATGAGAAAAAAAGGAGGAAACGGTTGAAATTTGCAAAGCGTACTCAGCTCACACTCATTTCTACCATTAGGGCAATATGTATATGCGTGTGGGTAGATAGTTACTATATGTGTGTGTTATGTGGATAATTTAAGCTCCTTATGCCATAAATCATAATTTAAATAGTATAGACTGCTTAACTACAGAAATATACAATAGTCTATATACCATATATGCTACCCCCCTCTTCACACCTTAAAGAACTTACAATCCTTCACTTTTATAAACCACAAACACCATATAATAAGAGATCTTATCTTATATCAAACATTCTATTACTACTAAGACAACCTTACATTCGCATGGCAAAACACCCTTCTGAGTTGATATTCCTGCTGTACACATAAAGCCACTTATGAAAGGCCTCAGCATTTCTCACTTTTTATTTCATGACAAACACCCAAGGTTAAATTTTTCCAAAGTCATATTACTTAAGAATTATATGCTACAAAGTAATTATCTTCTCAGAACGTATGTTAAGTGTATGTTATAAGTATAATGTAAGTATAAGCCTAAGTATACTTGCAAAAGTATACAAAGTAAATGGTTTGATAAAAATCCCAACCAGTAAAAAGTGCTTACTAGTTTGTGGACCGAAGCAGAGTTGCTGGGTTTAACTTTCAAACTGAGCTAAATTTTTGTAGTAATCATGTTATTTTCTTTGGCTAAATTTATTGAAAATACTTTGGAATTTGTCAGAAACCAGCCATAATTATTACTGACTGTTGTATGGAATCAATTTACTACAACACAAAAATACCAGCTGTTACAGTATGTCCTGAGAGGGATTACCGAATATTCTTAAATTGAAGTTCAATCCATCTTTCCATAAAAAGAGAGAAACCCAAACACCAGGAACCCAACAGCGGTATCAAGTGCACCTGAAACATTTACAATACCCAATAGAACTATTACAACCCTCCTTTAAAAAGGCTTATTTTTGAAATTTCATTATTTCAGTCGTACCTTGCTTCTATATATCACACAGTATCAGGTTCTTCTGGCATTGATCATGTGGGAACAGTGAAATATGTGAAGGTCTACGAGCTTACAACGTTCAGTTTCTACTGGCCCTGGGTAACCCCCTTAGGGCTCCCGTGGCATTCATGACATCTAATGGTCAACCACGGAAGTGCAAGTGTTTGTCGCAGAAAGCTTTTTTTGGTTTTTTGAGTTTTCCGTAAAGCAAAAATTGTCTTATTGCACCCAGAGAAATTATCATCTGCAGAAATTTTCATTAATATGCACACACAACTATTAAGAAACATACACTCCCCCTGGGTGTCTCCCATCCCTCTCAATACTTCACTGTGACACCGCTTCTGACACCAACTGTGGTTTTCCAACACCAAGCGATCCTGCAGCACCAGCTGAGGGTCCTGCAATTTGAGTCAATTCTGGCACTCTCCACCTGGAGACAGCATCCCATCCCACAGGTTAAGGGCACAGTCCCACAAGACTGCCCACGCCCCCATGTTCATTGCAAGTTCAGGCGGTCACCTGTGCTTCTAATCAGTTCACTATAAATCAGAGGTTCCCACGAACTCCGGCTTGGTTTTTATTAATTTGCTGGAGCCACTCAAAGAACTCAGGAAAACATTTACTGACTAGACCACCGGTTTATTAGATACAACTCCGGAACAGCCAGATGGAAGAGACGCACAGGGCTCCCATGCCCTCTCGCTCTCTGGGTGTGCGACTCCCTCCCCACCGCCCACCTCCACGTTCACTAACCCAGAAGCACTCTGAACTCTGTCCTTTCAGGTTTTTACGGAGACTTCATTCTATAGGCACAAGTGATTCAATCCCTGACCACTGGTGACTGATGCTGCCCTTAGCCCCCCTCACATCTCCAGAGGTAGAACGGCAAATTCCAACTCTCTAATCAAGGCTGGTCCATGGGCAACCAGCCTCCACTCTCAGGAGCTTTACCAAAGGCACCGTGTTATCATAATCTCAGGTGTGGCTGAAAGGGGCACATTATCAGTAACAAGATAACCTTTATCACTATTATCACCTAGGGTTTTATTAGGAGCTCTGTGCCAAAAATGGGAGGCAAAACCAAATGTATCTTTCTTATCATAAAGCACAATATGACACCTAACCACAAGTTTAAGCAGATGAACAAGAAATCAAATGCTGGACCTAGTTTCCAAACACTTTTCCTCTCACAGAGTATGCAAGAACATGAAAACATTTTTAGATTTTATTTATGTATTTATTTTACAGAGAGAGAGAGAGAGAGAACGGGAGCAGGGGGAGAAGGAGAGAGAGAATCTCAAGCAGACTCCACGCTGAGCACAGAGCCCAACATGGGGCTCAATCTCACGACCCTGAGATCATGACCTGAGCTGAAATCAAGAGATGGACGCTTAACCGACTAAGCCACCTGGGCGCCCCAACTTTTAATCAGCTCATGGTAAGTATTTAAAAATCCTATTAATATTCTACCATTTCAGGAGACAGTAACTGTACCCAGTAATCCAACTGCAGGTTACTTCACCAGTCACCAATATTCTAAATTACGCTTTCAAAATCGGACAGAGCAATAAAATAATACAAAGAGGAAACTTCTTCTAAAAAAAATTTATGATCCCAGGTCCTGGCATGGAGTCCCGCATCAGGCTCCTTGCTCAGCGGGGAGCCTGCTTCTCCCTCTGCCTGCCGCTCCCCCTGCTTGTGCTCTCTCTGGCAAATAAATAAAATCTTAAAAAAAAAATTTGTATCAGATTTTTTTAGAAGCTCGATTTGAAAGATTTATTAGTTATATATTAGCCAATGCAAGCAGCAAACTGGTATCTGTTAACATTATTGAAAACTTCATAAATTAGAACTGTAAGACAATAAAGGAGGCAACACATAGCTAGGTGGCATAAATCTGCTTATCTAAAATGGTAGTTATACCAGCAGTTCTCTGAGTGTGGGCTTCAGACCCGCAGTGGTCTCCCAAGACCCTCTCGGAGGGGTTCATGAGGTCAAATTATCTTCATACAAATACCGAGATGCCATTTGCCTTTTGTACTGTGTCGACATCCGCACTGATGGTGAAAATGGGAAAGACTGCTAGTACCAAATTGAAATTATTTGTCCTCGTACTCTACAGTGCCAAGCACTCTCATCAGAAAAGAAGAAAAAGAGGAGAAAGAGGAAAAAAAAATGTTCACTCTAGAATGTTCTTAATGAAGTAAAAAGTTCTGAATCAAATTACTAAATGATTGCCTCTTCAGCATCCA